TAGGTCTACCTCTACCTTTTTTAACCATAAGTCAAATCTAATACCTCAACTTTCCTAACCGGGTCATCAAAAGGCCTCCGTTTAATGTGACCAAATCATCTAAGGCGGCTCTATCTAATCTTATCTACCATTGAAGTTACTACAACCTTTCCACGTACATACTCGTTTTGCATTCTGTCTCTAAGAGTAAAGTCACTCATCCACCTAAGCATCCTCATCTCTGCAACACTTAACTTAGTATTATGCTTCTCTTTTAATGGCCAACATTCAGCACCATAAAGCATTGCAGGTCTCACCACCATCTTATAGAATTTTCCCTTAAGTTTGAGGGGGACTTTTCTATCGCACAATAAGCTCGATGCATTCCTCCACTTCAACCATCTAACTTGAATTTTGTGATAATATCCCATCAATTAACCATCACTCTGAACAATAGATCCAAGATGTCTTAAAACGTGTTACTTCTTATTATGACTTGATCGTCTAAAGTCACAAATCCCATCACTAGGTCTATTGGCTACTAAAAGATTAAACTCCATTATTCAGTTTTAGATCTACTTCAGCGAAAAACCTTGAGACTCTAAAGTTGACATCCATAATTTCAACTCCCTCTCTAGTCTTATCAAAGAAGAAATAAATCATCAGTAAAAAGCATACACCAAGGTACATCCTCTTGCAAATGTTTAGTGAGAACATCCATGACCATAGCAAAAGATATGGACTTAAGGCTGATCCTTGATGTAATCCAACCGAATAGGAAATTGGTCAAACCACCTTGTGTTTTGAACACACAAGTAATATTCTTGCATACATATCTTAATGATTTGAATATAAGCAATTATTAACTCCTTTATTTTCAAGAACTCTCCATAGCATTCTTTTGAAACTTTATCTTATGCTTTCTCTTAAATCAATAAAATATCATATGTAGATTCCTCCTTATTCTCTCTATATTACGTCCATCAAACATCTCAATAAATGTATGGCTTCCATAGTAGACCTACCCGGCATGAATCCAAATATAATTTTGAGAAAATATTAGTATCACGTTTGCAACCTACGCTCCATAACTCGCTCCCATAGTTTAAGTATGACACCATTAACTTATTTCTCCAATAATGTCGCACACTCATGTGCCATCACCTTTATTTCTTAATTAATAGAATTAGCACACTCATTCTCCACTGATCTGACATGTTTTTAGTCTTCAAAATAGTATTAAAAGGTTTAGTAAGACAAGAAATTCTTTCATCTCCTAAGCATTTGTACATCTCTAGTGGAATATCATCGGGGTCCAACAGCTTTTCCCACACTTCATTTTCTTTAAAGCCTCTCTAACATTTCTTTACTTATACGCAATAAAAACAAAAATCTTTATTTTCATTTTTGGGTGATAAAATCACTAAAGTCAATCGTATTTTCACATTTTTCATTAAAAAATTTTAGCAAAATATCTCATCCACTGTTGAATATCATCTTCTAAGAAAAGTACTTTTTGATCTTCATCCTTAATACACTTCACTTGAAATAAATCCTTACTACATAATTCTTTGTTTGGCTAACTTATACATATATCTTCCTCCCTCTTTATATCTAATCTATTATATTAAATCATTTAAAGCTAAGCTGTTTTGCATCGCAAATAGCTTTAGATTCTTACGAGCCTCTTTATAGCTTTTCCCACATCATCAGAATTTTTACATCTAAACCAATTTTTTATAACAAATCTTTCTTATTTTTTATTTTTCTTGCACATTTGGATTCTACTGCCGACTATTTTACTATTAGGAGCTTTTCCCTTCGAAAATCCAAGCATATCTTTTTGCAATATTTTAATATAACAAAGTCACTTTTTTCTCACATAATATTGACATCCTCATGCACAGATAAAATCTTACTTAAAAATATTTTTGTTAATATTCTTTTAAATGCCCTCATCTAATCCTAGAAAATCGTTTTACTTTATTTTTTATTTTTTGCCCAAAACTATATAATCGATGTTGGGTACATAAATTTTCACTCGGAATAATTTTACAATATTTACAATCTAAACGATCTAATTTTCTTATAAGAAAATAATCAATCTGCTTTACTATATCCATATTTATAAGTGATATATGCTCATCTTTTTTCTTAAAATAAGATATTATCTATTAAGAAGTCATAAGCTAAAGAAAAATCTAATATAGTCTTATCACCTTCATTTGTCGTTTCAAACACATAGCCACCATGGATGCTTTAAAATCATCAACCTCTTTACCAACATGTCCATTTAAAATCTTCTCAATAAAAACTCTGATGCAGACATCCAATCATGAAGATTTTCAAAGGAGGAGACGATGATCGACGATCGAGATCATTTCCACCATATCTTAATTTGTTATTTGTAATTTTTATTTTATTTATGAATTTTTTGTTTTTACCCCTAAGAAGGTCGTCCAATGTAAGTCCTAGGGGCATATGTGTTCTTGTTTTAGTTTCTTAGCCATAATATAGAGGCTCTTGCTTGTGTAATGTAATGATGAATTATTAAGAAAGAAATTTTGTTTGCACTTGTGTTCTTTGGAGAGAGAACTTGGGTGAGATTCTATTGGGAGGAATCGGAGTTTCCACAGCCGCAGGATGGTCCGGGCTCGTACGTGAAGTCCCTTGGAGAAGGGCAATGTATTACCAGTCAGCTGCAGTTATGTGTCTGGGCTCACGATTGTATCTTCTTCCCTAAATCCTTTTCTCCTCCTCCCTCGACCGCCGACCAAATCCTTCACTTGCCACCGGCCGATTCTCCCACAAACCCCTCCAAAGCCACAAGCCTTCTCCAATCTATCATATCAACCCCGGCCAAAACCACTCCACCACCACCTCTTTAGTCGGCCACCCCATCTCCTCCCATCCTCCTAGCCGCCGACCACCCCCATCCCTTTTTCCTCCTTAATGAGATTTCAATCATCAATTAATTATCTACCCAAAATAGCCTTACCTAATTTGGGTAAGAATTAAATATGTTTGAAACTCAAATTTGGAAATTTCAATACTTCCGAAAAATTAATAAGCAAAATTAGAAAAGTTCCTAAATTTAAGTCTAATTTGATTTTAAATTAGATTTGATTTAATTACCCTTTTCCTAATTTAGAATCATGATTTAGGAAGTTTTAAATTCCCTCCCAATTCCCCTCTCCCCATTAATTACACCCATTATATCCTTCCTTAACCTCCGGGTTCCCTTTCACTTCTCATTAGATCCCAAATAAAGTCTTCATTGGTTATTTCCTTATTTAGCCTATTGTTATTTGGAAAGAATTTGAATTCAAATTCAAAATAATTTGAATTTCAAAAGCTTTCTAATTAAACCAACTCTCATTTAGGAAACCCCTCAAATCTCTCAAATCTGAAATTAATTTCAAATTTAATTACCCTATCACATTTAATGCTATGGTCTACATACATTGCATGTGAACATTTCTCCTCCCTCCCCATATGGCCGGCCCCATCTCTCCCTTATTTTAATTATTTTCTTCCTTATCAAGAAATTTAATTACGGGAATAATTAATCACCTATTTATCCTTTCCTCCATTTTATTTGAATTTCAAATTCAAATCCCTTAATTAAGGGAAATATGAAATTGAATTTCAGATATTTAATTTTTTTTACCCCCTCTTTGTTCTACATCAAAAACTCTTTCTTCAAGAGGTATATTTTGTATTAATTCTTATAAGTCATTCCAAAATTTTAATTTTGAACTCATATCCAATCCTACTTGAGGAGCATAAGCACTTATAATATTAATAATCTTAGCATCAACAACAATCTTTAAAGCTATAATTCTATCTCCAATTCTGTTAATTTTTATAACATTATCCTTCAAACTCTTATCTATAATCACATATGCATCATTTCTAGTACGACTCCTACCCGAATACCATAGTGTATATCCTAAACTATTAATCTCCTTAGCTTTCTCTCCAACCCATTTAGTTTCCTGAATGCACATAATATTTATCTTCCTATGAATCATAATATCTATTAATTCCATTAATTTTCATGTAAGGGAGCCTATATTCCAAGTTCTTATCCTAATTTTAGAATGTATTTAAAATTTTTGTAGTTTGAATGAATGTAAAATAAATGCAGGTGATTATTATTGTTGGTTTGAAGTAAAATAAATGCAATTTAAAACTCAAAAATGGTGGTGATTAGTGGTTGAAGGGCCGCAATTGCGTGATGGAGATGGTGGCCGGCGGCGAAAAGTGTAGTTTAAATACTTTACAATTTTACTCTACTTTTATTTTATTTCAGATCAAATATCGATATTTTCAAGATCAATGCATTTGGAATACTTTACACGAGTTTTACTTCATATTAAACAACCTCTAAGTGTGTGTGTATGGTTGGATCTAGTATTAGCATAGTATCATAGCCATCAGATTTCATATCTGGTTTCGCATGTGTAGGAAAGCGAAAATGATATAAAAGTTACAGTACAATAGTTATATGAATAGTATTTTTAATGTTATGAACAGTAAAATTAAAGACCTAAGTATTTATTTAAAGTAACATTTAATTAATATAATATTGCATTTATTTAGAATAATGCTAGCTTATATAAACTGCATGTAAATTTAATAAAATACATAGGCCTTTAATTATACTATTCAGTAGTCATATGATTGTATTATTAATATTATGAACAGTAAAGTTAAAGATTAGGTATTTAATTAAATTAAAATATAGGTGTTTGCGAGCGATCCGTATGTAGAACTTGGATCTATCCATAAAATTTTGATCTTAAGAATCAATTGGCCTCACAAAGAATCAAATTTTATTCTTTTGATGTTTAATATTCCATTATGAACAATGATCCCTATTTATAGGTATAGAATTATATAGGCTTGACTTCAAATTGGCGGCTCGTACTGCATTTTATTCCTTTTGCTATTTTTAGTCTCCTAGTTTAGAAATACACAACTTTTAATTATTGCTAGCATTTTTATTAATATTGTAGCGATCAGGTTATCAATCAGGAAAAAAGGATAGAGACAATTGAGGATTTGGCTTCTAACATGGTGGTAGCTTATGCCAGTTTTTTTTCAATGCTTTAGTTTTTCTTCTACCGTACTTAATGTCTTGACAATGCTGTGCAATAGAATTTTTATGAAGACAACCGAACAACTAAAATTGGTGATCTAAAAGACTTGCTGGTACTACCTTTTAGTCTTTGGTTTCATCATTTTTCTTGGTTATTTTTCTGCTTGGTGTCCTAACCTCAGTTTCTTTATAATTTTTTATTGTATATTTTGATGGGCTCAGCACGAAAAAGAGATGGAGCTTGTGGAGTTAAAGCAACATATTGAAAAACAAAAGGTATATTAGGTTTCAACACAGGCATGAGTATTCATATTCTTTTTATGCCATCAATATAACGAAATTATTTTCTTAATCTAGTCCTAAGTTCTAATAGGCATTTGTTATATCCTTTGGAGTATTTTAATTCGAAATCTGGCCATTGGATTTTCTTGTTGTTGGTTAGTTTCACGGTCTGTTTGATTGACTTGGCTTACAAAATGAAAAAGCTGCAAACCAGTTCAATTTCTAGATTTCCACATGTTAAGATAGAATTTCAGTCATAATACTTGAAAGATAATGGAGCCCACAGAATTGAATAGGAACTAACATCCATTTGAAGACTTGTGCAACCTCAGAACCATGGACTTCCAAATCCAAGGTGTACCCTTCATCTTGGGAAGAAAATATGCCAAAGAGGCGAATTTCATGACAAAACTCTACGAAGAGAGGGCTATCTAGTTTAAAGGCTTGAAGACATGGCGTGCAATTGAAGAGCATATGGTTTTAATGTATAACTACTATGTGGTTCAGGGGCATATTTGAAGCATGAACACTCAATTCAATGGCATTATGTGGTCATTGCTAGCTAATGAGCTAAAAGAAAGACTATTCGTTCTCATGGATATGACGGGTTTTTTCTTGTGAACCATTGCTTACTTTTGACTTTTGAGCCCTTGGATTGTTTTTAGGAGGATGGGTGACAACTAAGAGCATGAAATCAGGGGCGGATCCAACTTCTTTTTTCAGGGTGGACAATATTTTAATTAATTAGATGATAATAATAAAATAAATAAATAAAATAATAATAATAATAACATTAAATAGTAATAATAATAAAATAAAACTTTTTAAAAATTTTAATCAACATAATACTTTCAAATTTATAAGTGGAAATTTTTATCATTTATTCGCAAAGATGAAATGTTCAGTACTTCGGATGTATGGGCAAACATTGTTAGATGGGTCATAATAGGGCAAAAAATTATTTTTGAGAGGGGGTAGAATTTCAAAATTACTCCTCTTATACATTAATTTTTTTTTTTATGGTGGGCATTTGCCCACACTCACGTAAGTAGGGATCCGCCCATAAATGAAACAACCACTATTATCTTTATTGGTACTTAATATATTTCATATCATTATGGTTGACTTTAATTTTTTTTTCTCCCTTCTAAGATTTATTTTTTAAAGCTTATTTGGTTCATGCTTAAGCTTAACCACTCAACTCCTTTTGGACACTTGGGTTCCTTCAGAAAATTTTGGATTGTTCTTGAGAATTTTTTCTGGAAAACTCTGGAAGACTTTTGGGCCCTTTGGTAGTTTGATAAATTCTGTACAAGGATATTCTAAACATTTCTTCTCGAACTTTGACTTGCTTCTTGGGGAATTATTTTTGATGTTGGAGCCTCCCTAATTAGAAGGGTTGGTGTCATTGCCATATTCTTTTAAGGCAATCATGTTGCCTATAACTGCAAACTATCTCTTGAGAGGTTGCAATTGTCCTCTAGTTTTGGAAGTAGATTTATGCAATAAATGACTTTATGATGAAGATAATATGGTTGTTATTGGTTTTCTAGGAGGCCTTGACATAGGTTCTTTTTCTATTAACAAGTAGATTTAGCTTCCATTAGGGGTTGTGCCATAACCAAACTTTGTTGGTCGTAGTTGATACACCCGTTGACTGGCCCTCTAGGTGGAAAACATAGATATGTACTACTAATTTTTTTATATCATAATTTCTAAATTGAGAAATTTAAAAATTTATACAAGTCTGTAGCGTAGAAGCATTTATAAAATATTTTTCATTTATTTAACTACAAAGCTTCTAATAGACATCATGATTCTCTGGTATATCATCAAACTTTCATGATAATCATACCTGACTAAGCTTTATCTTTTACATAAAATGGTACACCAAAAGATAAAGTTGTAGATCAAAATATAACCCTTTCTGGGTTATATCTTATTCTTTCCTTTACCTGAGTATAGTATTTTATGAGCTAAAAAAAAGCCAGAAAGGTAAATAATTCTAACATTAAGTTTAAAGATCATAAAATTCAATTATTTTCATACATTAGTCTAATGTTTTATCTGAAATGCTTATACATGAAAATACCTAAATAAAAAGTTATGTAAGTGAAATATTTAATTGAAAACAAAATTTTTACCAGACCTTTAGAGGTTCAAGCATCAACAATATCTCATTAAAAGTGTGTATAAGTCTGTTAAACTAATCTTTTATGAGTTTCTTTTATTGATTATATATTTTTAGCTTTCAAATATAACATATATGGGGAAGTAGTTTATTAGCTATTATAACCTGGAAAGCTATGTGCTGATGACCATTTTTCCTTTATAAACGCCCACATTTGTTGCCCTACATGTATAGGTCATCTTACATACTGCATTTAAATGTTGGTTTTAATCAGTTGAATACTCCCTAATTATTAGAAAATTTTCAAAATTTTGAGTGTGCCTAGAAGCACCCAAGAAGTTGCGACAAAATTTTGCAAGAAAAACAATATGAAGCAAATACCTTCAATGTTATCTTGATGATATTCAATTGTAGAAAGTTGTTTAGCAATAATTAATGCATATGTATATTATTTAGAACGGTGAATGATTTAAATCATTAAACTGAGGCGAAGTACTGAAGCCAACATGCAATCTCAAATGGAGTTTATTTAAGGTTTTAAAATGTAAAGGACGAATTAAATGAAATTAATAAAAATATAGTTATGAAATTTTATATGTGATTTTAGGTATTGCATTAAGGAAGGCTATCAAAGTTCAATTATTTGGAAGAAATTTAAAGTATAAAAGTAATCAAAGTGGGTAATTACAATTGTTTTAGAGCAATTACAATTCCCTTTCATTTATTTACAACTATTGTATGTCACAACATATATGTTGACTGAATGTTTAATATATATAATGAATCAAATTGAGGGAAAAACTAAATGGATGACTGTTATTTATAGCAAATTCATTATCTTCATTCTATCGCTATTATTGAACATTATATCATGCACAAGTACTTGCTAAAATTAAATATTTGATATGCAACAAATTTGAGAATGATTGAATAACTTAGTTCTCAAATATTAACTAGTTAATTAGGCTCTAAAATTAGTTAGTCTTAATCATGTCTTTATGATTTACTAATATCTCTTAAGACATGAAATCTCTTTACATATTCATTACAGAATAGATGTGTGTATATATATATATATATATTAGCAATTCACTCAATATATAAAATTACTTATTCTAAAAACAAAATAGATTCCCCTAACATAAACTACCATAAATTATAATTATAGGATTAATTACATATGCACAAGTGATCTTATATGCCAAGCTCTTTATAAGTTGCAAATTTGAAAGTCATTCTTAACCCTATATGATTTAGTGAAATAAAACAAAAGATATTATAAAAAATAAAAATATCAAATAAAATAATTTAATTGCTAAAATCACAAAAAATCAAAAGATTTATTTGATGCATGATTCTCCTCAAGGGCCTCCCAAAATTTATGTTTGATTTAAAAATCCACCTAAAAAACTATAAAAGTATAGAACAAATTTGGTGTTAGGGTTTAACCAAAATTTGATTAAGAAGATGTTGATGTACAAAGAGGAAAAAGAATGAGATACTCTTGCTTCTTCACTTTTTTTCTCTACTCGGCCTCCTCCCCTTACGGTGCTCGACGACGAGTGCGAACACGGAGGTTGCCACCATCAAAGAAGCTATCGATCTTGCCTCCTCCCTCTACATCTTGCTGGGTAGTCGAGGCCACAAAGTTGACGAAAACATCGAACTTCGAAGCCATCGAGTACTACCACCCCTCTTTTCCCGGTATATGTTGCTGCATAGGAGGCTATCGTCGATTATCACCTTCTTGATTTCTCACTCTCAATCGCTGCCTCTCCCCTCTTTCTCTCCGCACTCTCACTATCTCACACACACGAGATGCCCTAAGCCACAATTCAGAACATAAAGGCACGATATTTTCTTAATAGCGAAACGAAGTTCGGGTTAGTTTAGCCAAAATGGTTCGACTTTGCTTTATATCGGGTTATTACAATGTCTATGTTCAAATTAGAATTATTTTTAGTGGCTCTTTAGTTATATATTGGATATTAATCTGTTAAGTATTCTATGTTATTGAAATAACTATATTAACCATCTGACCATTTGTTCCCGTGTCATTAATTCGAGTCTCTGATTTGGGTCGTTACAATTTATGTGTCTGTTCTTCTACTTTTATTATTTTTAATTATCCAAGCATTGCCACAAGCATTTTAAGCTCTAAGGGCAAAGTTTCTTGAATAGTTATGGAATATAATATAGAATAAGTAAACCATGGTAATTTCAAATAATTACAATGAAGAATCAAATTTATAAATTTGGTACAATTTTAAGATATCTTAAGTGGAGTCATCATCTTGATAGGATTTGATTATCATCATGCAAATATAAACAAATTATGCAAATAAGTTTTCTATTTTAGAAATTATTATGCTTTTACCATATTCATAGAAGTTGTTTACCATCATAATTATCACTAAAAGAAAGAAATAATTCAACTTTAATTTTATTATTCAAATATGCAAAGAAATTTTTTTTTTTTCGTTAAAAAATTTGCGATCAGTTGTTTCATTCAAGGCTGAAGCAATCAATCATGATTTTGATCATAAAAAAATAATTATCGGGATTTATTCTCTTTCCAATGAGGGATGACCGAATTTTTAAGCAAATATATATTTGTTGGACTTCCTCTGCTATCTCTTCACCTTCCACAATGGTTCCAATTCAACAAAAATAGTTTTGGATGCTTTGAATTAAATAATTTTTTCAATTAAATAAGGTGCTCATTAATTATGCAATCAAATCATGAAGATTTTAAAGCTTCATTTATTTTTATTCACAAAATTATGTAATAATTTGTATTTTAGTGCTTTTAAAGTAGAGTGAGTTATATTCGAAAATAATGTTGGTTTGGAAGATCAAGGCT